CGAAAAAACACTTTATCGCGTTCCATTTTTCACAAAGCAAAAGAAATTGTTGTTTAGGAAAATAATTGTGTATGCTGACTGAATGTTATCGAGAAATGTCGAAATTAATCACAAACTACCTGTTTCGTTAGTAATGACTACTAGAACTGTTTGCATTGCCATCTAACATTTGCGGGCGGAAACTAAGTTAAGGTCCTAATATTTTTCGATGCAATCTGTTGAAGCTTTGAGACATGTGCCTGTCAAAATCAGTTTCTACATTGAGAAAATATTTTTTATATAACAAAAACTCTGTTCTGGTTAAATTGCTTTTACCTTAATGCGCATTTCTGTTTTAACGAAGTCTGATAGAAACTTTCATTTTAATACGCAGAAGAAAAAGAATAAAAAAAAATACTGGCTTCATATGCGACTCAGTCTTGTTGCTTACGTCGCCGTAATTCGATCTTGTCGTTTAAAGGTTAATAAGGTCTCGACTGCCGTCCTGACTCATCAAGACCCGACAACGTCGTCTTACGGACCGGACAGCTGACTGAGATCAACCTGATCAGGAGCATGGGATAAATTTCTGGGATAATCGCGCCTGAACAAGCCTCGCGCGAGCAAGTAAATGCGACGTTATCGTTATCGTCACCGCTCTCTGTCTTTCGATTCGCGGGTGCGCGAACAACGGGTGCTTCCCGCGGGACTCACACGCGGGATAATTTGGCGAAATCGACTACTCCCCGAGGGATAGAGAGGAGAGGGATAAGATCGATGAACACGAGCGAGTCGGCAAAAGTTGCCGTACATACTAGACTCTCCTCATCACCGGCGTGCTCATCGCCGGAAACGGCCAACGGACGTAATAAGTGATCGCTCCTACAACTTCTTCGGCGAGAGCACTCTCTTTTCAAGGCCGTCCCGGCCGCCGGCGGAAAGCCTTCCACGGCTGTCCGGATGAATAACGCGAGCGCGCCTTTGTGCGCGCCTGTCGGGAAACGTTACACGCTCGCGTCGCAATAAGTCGCACGATAAAATTGACGCGCGGGAGGAGGGAGGAGATGACGTTTGAAGGAATAATTAATGTCGCCATGGCGGAATGAGAGCGCGGACACAGCGACGCTCGCGCGGCCAGTTAATCGGATGTTGAATGCGTCTCGCTTGGTTCGCCTGACTATCTAAAGCTTTCAGTGGAAAAACGAATCAGACCCGAGCGAATAACACGAAAAATTTCAAATTTCGGGGAAATTCAAGTGAAAGCCAGAGCAGAATTAAATAAAAAGTGTGATTGAAATGGATCGGAGTTTAATTTGCAAGAATAATATTTCATGTAATGGAAGTTGGATATGTGTTATATCTAAGTTATACACGCC